ACATTTTCTAACTAAGATTTTGTTGTTGTAGTAGCACGGACATTTTCCAAAGCGTTTTTCAGATTATTGAACTTGCATTTATGATTATAATCTTTAGGCTTTCGATACATATATGTATGTACATTTGGTATAAGCATACATGTCTATCTATTTGCTTACTTTTGCTTCAAATGTTTTTATATAAAAGTAAAAGTAGAATAACAGTGTAGTAGTATATGTACATATATAAATAGTTTTCACTAATAATTATGAGTCCATCTGGGAATTAATGCGAGACGTGATACAAAAAGTGCTTTTCAGTGTAACTGTACGCATATATTTTTGAAGCCATAACATAATATATACAAGTATATAAATAATAAAATGTTTGCAGTAAATAAAGGTCATATTTGTGATGACGTTAGCAAAGCATAGTCAACAATTGACACGCATCATTATGTATTTCAGATTTACAGTAGATAAACATCATACATGCATGTGTATATAAATATTATTACAATCAATAACCTATCGCAAAATAAAACGTATAAAAAGTTCTAAATATATTCAGATATAATATATTATATTTATAAATTCTTTATCTAATATAAGATTTAAATTTTGATGCATTTGCTATTTCATAAAAAATTATATTTTATTAACACATAGCAACAAAATTACTCTATAAAACTAATTATTTTTAATATGTAAGCAATATTTCCTATATAAAATATGTACACACATATTGCGCCCAATATTCCGTACATATAAAAGTATATAATACTCGCTGTGACAGTGCATAAGATTTCACACAAATTGCACAAACCGTCTTGACCATAGTAAATAAATTGTGAAATTATTAGCGGCATGTTGAGACGTTAACGACCACTCAATAGCATCACTACAGTTACATTATTACAACAAACACTTTTCTCATATTTCAATCACAATCAAACTAAACAATTTTGACATTAAACCCAAATTGGTTGATTTTTTTTTTTTTAATTATCACTTAAACATTGTGCCATTTGGGAGTTAAAGCACTTATTTTGTGAATCTCTACAATTATGACAAATCCTCCTACTATTACGGTAATGAGCATTAATAAATTATGCACTTACGCCTGATTCCCCAATCCATCATTTTGCAGCTGTTTGCGCAGATGCTCCTCAGCAATGACACCCATTAAAATCCAATAAACCGCACAGCCGTTTTCCGTGGCCAATCAGAACAAACTCCTGCATCCTTTTACTTGTACCAAATGCAAACTCACTCACACATAAATTTCTTTTTGCTGATCTCAAATACCAATTTGGATAATCAATCAACAGTTAGCACAAGAGGAATATATACAAACTTCAAAAAAACAACAACAAAAATTGTAGTGACACAAACAAAAAAAATATATATTGCACAGATAAAAATAGTGAATTTGAGGAAAAATTCTTATTCTAAAAAGTAAAAGAACTTTGACACCGTCAGACTAAGTGGCAGTGCGCTTAAGAGCACCGTTTCTTTGTGACTATTGCCAGACGATTGGTGATGGTAATCGGAGAGCGAAACACGCGGTGCATATACTTCTACGCTAGAGTTCACAACAGTGGCGCCTACGACGAAAATACCGACCACGACAGCGACATTATAGCTACAATACCTATACAACTATACAACACTTGTATGCAGAATAGCAATAACAAAATGTGGGCAATTGTATTCTTGATGAAATAAAAACTCAGCAGTACCTATCAGTGTGTAACTCACCAGCGTATGCAACAATCACGACTGGTTGTAAGCAAAAATTGAGTACTCCACCGCACATACTTGTACATACATAGATGCGTACTTCTATCAAGGGTGCAGAGCGCTCATCAAATAGGTACACATGCGCTCAGAACACCTGAAAATGTATGTGAGTCAAGTGTAATAGGAGTATCTTATCAGAAATATGACAATTAGTATATGTATGTAGGTGACTGATATGATACTTATGTATATATACAGAGACCACGCTTTGTAATTTTATTTTTACAAAGATAATCATTAAATTTATGAAACTGTGAGAAATGCCAAAAGCGCGAGTCAACATTGCATCATAGTCCGGACAAACAAGAATTCACTCTTATCACTCGAAATGTAAATATATGTATGTACATATGTATGCATTCGTTATTATAACTTTACTTTGATTGTACTTTTGTGGCGTTCGGTGCATTGCCGTTAGGTGAGCATAGCACAGAACCACAAACAAACTCAGCTTCGCTATAAAAAGGTAGCTAAATGCCATTTTGACCGCATGATGACACTTTCATTAAAATTTAAGCAACATGCTCCCGCCTCACAGGAAGTGTATGTAAGTACACTTTCATGCGAAAACTGTTTATGTCCTTTTCGTCTGTCATGCAAACGTTATTGCATGCTAATTTACTTTTGTTTTTGCTCAGCTCCTCGTAGTGAATATACTCGCAGGCAACATGCGGCGATTTGCAATCTCATCTTGAATCCCACAGCTCATTCACACAACAAAAGCATCTATGATGAATTTGCACCAACTTTTTGCTCCTCCCGTAGGTGTGCTGCTCTCATCAAAATAAACATTTTTATTTATCTTATTTTATTTGGTCATAAGGTAATATCATTTGATTGAGAAGCAACGTTATACAAGAGAGCTTGGCGCTCTTTATGTCGGCGCATGCGCAGAATTCAACATTCTTTATTCCTTTAATCAGCTGATGAACACGTTCCACTACACAGTGAAAAGTTAAATGAATTCATAGAAATACTCATAAGCCATGGGATTGTGTAACAGCATTTTCGTTTAAGAGCAAAATAAATTTTACAATGGGAAACGTAAATATAATAATATCTGATAATACCCATATTGCAAAATGTAGTTCATATTGTTAAAAACGTCGCAAAGCAGTCGAAATGCTCGAACGAGACATCGAAAACTGGACTTAACTGATGGACTATCTGGGACGTAGCCGCGGCCAACATTTGAAAGAAATAATCTTCAAAAAATAAATGCCAAAGAATGTTCTTTCGAATGATAATAAACCTTCCCCATTAAATTTTAATTTTCTGTGTTTTTTCTCTAATCGTCCATCGTCCAATTTTGACACCGGCTTCTTGTGCTATTATGTTTTATTAATGTAATTCGTTGTTCCAAATTTTAGTTGTGTATCTTAATTTACGGCTTAGTTATGGCACATATAATTTAGGGTGATACAAACAAAAGTTTGGTGAACAAAATTATTATACTTTGTGTAACATGTTACGAGAGTATAAAAATATAATATAAGGTCCATTAAATTTTTAATTCATTATTTTTCTGATAGATGGTTTTAGAAATCTGTACCCCGCGTTGCATAAGAGCGTTGGGGTTACGCTATATGGCGTTAGAAAGATACAATTTTGTGCAAAATAATTTGTCAGACAGAGTTATGATTGCTTGACTTAATTTAGTTTGAGCACGTGTCAAAGTTGAACATCAGCAAATATAAAATTCGCTATTTTTATAGTTTTCCTTCAATAATTCAAGCCAAGCGGCTAAATATGGGAATGGTGGTTACAGTCCTGATACTGCCAAACACACGAAATTTTGGTTTCGTCAATTGCGTTCCGGTAATTTTGATGTCAATGGATGCATCACGTTCTGGTACTATTTAAGTAAGGTTGGATACAAAAAGAAACTCGATGTATGAATGCCACACGTGTTAACACAAGCTGAATCGCAACAAAATTGATCATTGAATACGTGTTTGGTAGGCTAGGCAGGGAATCACATACTATGAACTGCTTGTCATCAGGACAACGCCAGCTACACAATCGAGTGTTCCTGTCTATGGCGAATAATATTGCTGTTGAAGGACGAGTGTTTCTCTGAATGTCAACAAGTTATCAAACAAAACGGTGCATATTGACCTGAATGATAATTCTAACTATGCTAAATAAAACCTTCAATTTACTGCAAAAATATTGACTTTCTTTTTACTAGACAATTGAATAAAATTATTTTTACCAGCCCCTAATTTAATTAAATTCAATGTTTACCGTATGTAGTTTTAACACAAATTTATGGCACACATACACTTAATTAATATGAAAAATCACTTTGTATGTATAGGTATATTTATGAGTGTAAGCCTCTTTATACTGCGAATCGCTCAACATCACACTAGTTTATTACTTTTGTTTATTTTTTATTTGGGATAATTATTATTATTTTTTTTTATATAACTTACTTAATTTTTTATAGTATTCTTTCGATATTTTCCCGGGCATTATATTTCTTTAAGCTTTTACAATATTATATATCCATATAAGGAATACAGGTTTACTCCCGGAAAATGATTTTCACATTTTTCCGAAAATATTGTTGATTTCTGCGAACTAACCAACCAATACTTGTCGCTCCCGTTCACTACTAAATTATGTGCATTCAAATATTTTCAATTCAATCGTCGGGTCACCCAACATAAAATATGCGGAAGCATACAGCAATAAGGGCCGCCCAAAAATATAAACAAAAATGTAATGCACCAAAAACTTTTATGGGCATTGTGTGTCGACAGCACACATCTGTTCCCGCGCAGCCATAACTATTGATAAAACTTTTCTTAATTGTATGGAAATTTAACACAGCATAGAGCTACAAGCAACTCCTTACTAAAGCAGCAACAAACAAATGCATATAAACATGTGCTCAAATATGCCTCAAGCAGGCAAATTGGTTGTATACAAGTCATTGATACAACAAATGTGCATGCACACATACATATGTACATGTCAGCTTTTATGCTTCCGATCGACAAATTATTTTCTTCAAGTGAGGAGTGATGTACAGAGTTATGAATGAAACTATTACAATTCAATTGCACATATCTATTTTTGTTTTGTTTCCACATTATCATGTTTGTTGTTTATGCATGTATGGTATAGGAGTTTCGCTGGAAATGCAGCATTCGCGGCAATTTTCTAATAAAATTGGGTTATGAACATTTTACCACTTGAAAGTTACCTACCTCGCGATGTTGGGTGATTCATCAGTATCGATAGCGGACACTCATCATCGTCCAGTATATATTCTGTGCCATCACTGTTCACCTATAGCAACAGCAGAAAGTTTGTTAAGTTTTTGTTTACGAAATTTATTGTGTATGGTAGTCAAACCTGCACCAAACAATAGTGTAACGGATCAGCTTTGTCCAAACCATATTTCGACAGCATTTCCCTGACGACTGCTTGCGCACAGTCGCGTATTGATAGCAGCAATGTTTTGTATGGGACATCTTGGCATAGACTCTCGCCATAAATCTTCAGTGTGCCGCCAGTGTCAGGTCCGCCGTCGCGCGAACGGAACTGTTGCAATTTCTTTTCAAGTTTCTGTTGTCGTCGTCGACGCATAACAGCTTCGGGATTCGAAATTGAGCGCGTAAAAGATGTCTCCGGCAGTTCAGTATAAAGTTTGCCCGCCACCTGGGTTTCACCCTCTATTCCGCCGTTGACCATGCCACCGTTAAAGCCGCCAGCTGTCGATTCAGAGTTTAACTTTGCCAGTTTTTCTTTCTTTTTTTGTTCTTTCTTTTCGCGTTTGGATAGTTTCCGCTTAAAGTTCATATCTGACTGTTCGATTGGCTAAACAAAGGTGGAAAATTGGATTTAATTTATAGATAACGTGACAAAAACTGTATACAAATATTCAGTAGAAACACCAAATAGTTTTGCAAGTGAAATACTAAAGTTGCACACGTAAATTTTTTTAGCTTACCGTAGTTTTTTGGTCGATGTTTTTTAACAAGAACCGACCCTCACGATCATCAATATGCCAATTTAACTGTACAAGCAATGGTTTTTCGTCAGGGTTCAAACGTCGCTCTTCGCCATTTGCATGCACCTCATAGAGAGCGTAATTTGGCACTGAGAGCATACGCATATCGGGACGGAATTTCTCGATAAGGGTATCTGCAAGGTACGACAAATTAAAGGGCAACATAAAATTATATTAAGTCTAATTTTAGAATTGAGTTGGTTTAAACACCGTTATGCTTACCAATAACATCTGAGACTGTTGCATCAGAGGCAACGCGAATACACTTAGTAGCCACTTTTTGTCCAGCATCTTGAAAATAAAAACGCATAACGCCATGAAATAATAGATTCTGTGGAGAAATGGAATGTTTGAGAATTTGGAATGACAGCAACTTCTTTCTAGGTCAATTAAGCATACCCTTACCTCGTCAGGTTCGGATAAAGCGAACAGGTCCAAACGATTCGCATTCCATTGCTGGATGACAGAGCGTACGGCTTCTCGATCAAGCATTTTTCTATCGTGTGTCATTCTTTACTTAGCTGCTAATATCTTGTGCGCCGATAGGCTCCGTACATCTGGACACTTTTTGGAGGAACAAACTGGTGTTACTAAAAAAAAAAATAAGAAATGTTTAAAGCTTATTTTTTTAACAAATTAAGTTAAACAATAACACTTAAACATAACTTTAACGTAAGCCTTAACTCAAACTTAGAACTTAACTTACCTATGCTGGAATTGATTAAAGACAATTTTGAATTATGATTGAAATTTGTATACCTTGAACAGGCTATATTAAGTTGTCACGAAGTTTGTAACACCCGGTAGGAAACGACTAAGACCCTATAAAATATATATATAAATGATCAGTGTGATGAGCTGAGTTGATTTAGCATATTGATGTTCGCTTGTCTGTCCGTCAGTTTTTGAGATACCGCTCTGAAATATCACCACACTCATTTGTCGGAACCGCCGATATCGGACCACTATACCATATAGCTACCATACAAACTAAACGATCAAAATCAAGTTCTTGAAAGGGAACTTATTTTTTGTGAAGGGTATTCTTGCTTAGGTGCAACCGAGTTTAACGTTTTTTCTTATTTTTTTAAAGTTTGAGTAAAATTTTAATTTCGGTTTTAACGGTTATACTTGACATACAAAAAAATACATAACTTGGTTATCTATACTTCGTTTCGCGCGCGGTTTAAAGATTTTTTCAAGCCTGCGTTTTAATTTGTTTGTTGTTTTGTTATTACGACAAATGTTTGCACCAAATTGAGGGTGTGCTGGGTGTGGTGTGTGTGTGCAAATGAAACCATGCATGTCACAACGGAAAGTTTCGCCAAAAGCAAGACACTTCGACTGCAGTTGAGTTCAACTTCGTTAATGTCGCTATAACTGCGCCATAGCGAGAAAGAGGGTAGCATTGCTCGCCCTCAAGTTGTCTGCTCGCTCTGTCACTCGTATTAACCGTAAAAGGTTCAAACTTTCTTTGCACCATTTTCAAATCTTCATTTTGTTGCATTTGTATTTGTTTGCTTAACAACCGTCGACGGTTACACTTAGTTGATCACAAATTTCATATTCTATTTCTTGTCGTTTAATGCGGAAACTTTTACAGACAATTTAGTTGTAAGGCTGTTTTTTAAAACACAGAAGACACTGCGTCTAGTCGGCCGGGTATGCGTCTGCAAATATTTACGTGCGATTAAGACAGACGACTGTACAACAATTGTACATGATTGACACGCTGGTAGAGCAGAGGCGCACTACCCTATCGAGCAACTCAAAGCGGTTGTTGCAAATTTCTTAAAGGCCTCATATGAGCAAGAAGCTATATACAAGTATGTATGTAGTATGTAAACGTGTATGAGCCAAAAGAAACGCATATGAATAGTTTCTGGTAAAATTACTCAAGCATGCTGCCAAGAGCCCCACTGTCATATTATGTTTCTTACTTTGTACTAAAGAGGTCAAACACATAAGAAAAGAGTATATGCATATGCATGTATGTGAAAGGGCTATAAGTTAGGGCAATCTACAGTAATAATTTTAAAATCTAGAATCTTAGAAAAAAAACATAGACTGTTTCTGCAAAATCTATATATTTTTTTCTTTAATCTAGTTTGATGTGTTTACATCAGGAACCTTGTTCTGAATATCCTCAAGTTCACTTCAGCTTAAACTTTAGGAGTTAATATTAATATTAATATAATGTTCTCACAGGAGAGACTTTGTTCAGTATTGCTCTCGGAGGATTGGATTTTAATATGGCAGCTTTATGCTATAGTGGTCCGATATCGATGGCTCCGACAAATAAGCCGCTTTTTGTGGAGAAAAGGGCATGTGTAAAATTCCAGAAAGATAACTCAAAGACTGAGGGAATAGTTCGCATATATACAGCGGGACAGACATGACTAAATCGACTCAGCTATATACATACATATGTATATATTGTAGAGTCTCCGACGTTTTTTACTAGGTGTTACAAACTTAGTACAAACTTAATATACCCTTTTCAACTTGTGAAGAAAATTGTCTAAATCGAACCAAAACTGTTCAAGCTCCTAGGTACTGAATGTGTGGACCCCAATGCAAAGAGTAGAATTTTTACCGAAAATATCGGTCAATGTGTAAGATACATAATTGAAATTCTGTCAAAAATGGGTTGATACCTATAAATACTTTCTAAAGCCCTCACATACCTAATATAAAGATTTTTGAACTTCCGGGTGACTTTATACCCCATATGTCGGACAACTCACATAGTTATCTCAATGAAAATGAGAGAGCTTGCTTAACTCATAACAAGGTATCTTTGTGCCTTAAATGGGGCAATGGGTGAAAACTTTACCTAGCCCCCTTGTAACTAATATCAGGATTTTCGAACATTTGTCTGACTTTACTCCATATGATTGTATCGATAAAATCGGGTTAATACTAACCTCAACTTCCATATACTACTTATAATGCTTTTCGTTATTCTAATCAGTTTTATGCCGAATATGTGGATCGGTAAGTATTAATATTTTTTTCTCAAACGAGTATACCATTTGATTTTGCGAGAGTATAAAATGTTCGATTACATCCGAACTTAGCCCTTCCTTACTTGTTTTTCTTTACTTATTTACCATATACTTCTATTATTGACTTTTTTTAAACACGCACTGATACACGTACTATACAATAGTAATGGTACTTCTGGCGAGCTATGTACATATATCTAATATGGTAATAGTCAATAATCGGCAATTAAGCAATTGAACTTTCAAATTAAATAATTGTACGCTTTCGTCATTTAATTAGTATTTCTCAGTAGACGCTGCTTTACATTTTGTTATCTTTTGCTTCAGCGCATCTACATATACCGCCAACGTTTATGGTCTATTTGTTCTGTTTTGATTCTGCATTTGCTTTTTTATGGTTTCGTTATGTGGTCGTCGATTTTGTTTACGTTTGTCATTCGTTCTAAGTTTTCGGCCTCGTTCGCTTGCCACTGTTTTGTTGCGTTACCTTCGGCAAACTAAAAGTTCAGAGAGACTTTTTGTCGTCCAACTGTTAGTCTGCCTTTATACATACTAAGTATGAGTAAATGTGTATGTAGTCATTCTTATGGCGCCGTGGACCGCTTATTGGTATTGCTGTTGGTTAAGTTCGTTCTCCCCCTCTTTCAGATTTTAATCCAATTTTACAGCAATGTACTTAATAAAGCATTACACGTACGAACTCTATTTTCCACCTTTCCGGTCGTCTCACACCAATGCCCTACCTTTTGCAAGTAACACTTTTCGAACTTTCTATTTTGTATTTATTTCCAAGTCGCTCGTCTATTGTTGGCGCAATCTTAGTGTAATAATTCAAAGCAAAAATACCAAACTGGTTGTTGACTCTTACGCTCGTATCTCGGTGTTTCTACGTTGCGTGCCTACACAGTTATACAGTTATATCAAAGTTCATGCTCCTGGTACTTATGTACAACTTTTTGGTAGTCACTCTGCGATTGTTAAAATTATAGGCCATTCAGTGTAAAATATGAGACTAGTAGATAATTGTTAAGTAGCGAGAAGTAGTATAACAGTACAAAATGACTCACGATATGCCGCTAGTTTAAGTAGCCAAGTACATATTCTTCTGTTGAAGCTCTTCCGTAGATATACAAGTATAGTAAGAAATTAGTTAGAGTTTTCTTTAAGTCTAATATCTTAAAAATATTCTCTAAAAATTTGAAGTAAATCTGACAAATACTCTTCGAGTTATTCGCTAACTAGCAAAGGGTTCTCGGGCGCTCTGGAACGTTTAAGAGTTGGTAGCTAGCAGTAGTTGCAAACAACAGCTTCTTCTGGCTAATTATGTACATGTATTCACTATTATTATCTATTACATCCTGTTATTTTAGAAGCTATCAAGCCAATTTATGAAGATCTCAGTAATGACAATTTACTCTCAAGATGTGTAGGTGAATTCAATGGAAAATATTTAAATATTTACTATCGTAAAAATTGCTGCATTCATAGTTATAGTACTAAATGAAGGGGCGAAATCATTAGTCATCATCATAATGAGTACATTGGGACCTGATTGTGGGTCTAATTCTCATCGGTATGTCGCAAAAATCGATACATTCACGTGTGAAAGCACGGCAGCACTCGAGAACGTAGAATGATACTTGGACAACATCAAATAAATATTTTTGAATCTGCTCCAATGGCTGAAGAACTATTATATCGCCCAGGAATAGATCATTTGGTGTAAGTAATTACATAAAACGTATTACTTTACGTAAATTGAGCGTAAGACTTTATATGCGTTATTTCAAAACTATGTTTTTTGAACTGGTGGCCACTTCCATCGGCACTGAGCTACTTGTTAAAAGTGAGTTCTTTTTGACCATTCCCAGCGGATATGGTATTAACTCCGCTTCGAATTGATCAAAAGAGGCTTCTAGTTTGGACAACTCGTGTGCTTTTTCTTTACCGAAAATTTTCCTGTTGCCAGGAACCCAAATTAAGGGCAAGTGAAGTTGACCTGCCAGTGAGCTTAAAACGTTTCTGCAATTGTTAACTACGCTGGAATTAATAAGTGGCGTCGACAAAACCAGCAGTGCTGCCTTACCGTGTATGGTATATGGTTTCTTTCTGTATCCTCCTGTAGTTATTCAATAGAGCCCCACAGACTCTTTTTATACCTAGTACTTCCACTTGGAACATGCTGATTGATTGGAAGTACAAGTAGATATTGAAATCTAACTTTGGTAGAATATAGTCTGATTAACTTTCTATTGATGTGCAGAAAGTCTGCGAAGGGTCTGCCTTTGCTTTCCTAACTGCATTTTTGTATTGCTTCAAGACATTTTTATACGGATATTGAGGCTATACAAGTATTTTTTTTTTACTTTTCTTGAAATTCCAATTCATACTGTCAAGAGTGGGTGTGCCAACGCTTGTCTGTGTTCATAAGTTAATTGAAGAAGTTTCGCTTTCGCCATTGAAGAAATTATTTAATTAAATATTCATTTACTCATTGACTTCTGTTGACTTGCATACTTATGTTGAGCGTCATAGAATTTACCAATCGCGTTGCAATGGCATTTGGTGAGCAATAGCATAGTCAGCAACAATACTTCTTGCATAAATAATTATTCCTATTTTCATTAGCATATTTATAATGCTTAACATTGTAACATTTCGTTAACATTTTGCCGAGATACGTATAAAAAGCGTATGAGTTGCCTCACAATATATACTTGCTCACAATTCCACCTACCTCCTAAGTTTGCGACTTATGCCGATTTGTGATGTACCACAACGAGCGTTATTTATCTATTTAAAGGCACACAATGTATTTATAACTGACAAAAAGATATAGATTTCAGATAGTTAAGAATGCAAGTTATATTTAGAAATTTCTGTAACAAGAATACCAATTATGTATCTTGTCTACCTCTCTTTCTTTAGATTTTCACAAATGTGTACGTTCCTAAAAAAATCAATTCGTCTTTAAGGCACACAAAAAATACATTTTTTGTTATAAAATTATATGGTTCAAAATACTTTTTGGAAGTATATTGTTCAGTCAGTGGTCATGAATTTTTTAAGAGCCATTTTGGATTGTAGATAATCATTCTAAAAATGAAATCAGTACAGAAAACAAATACGTTTTGATAAAATGCCTATGTAATTGTCATTCCGTCGATTTTTGTGGTTTCAAAGCAGTAAACACAAATTTGTGGGATCTTTTTATGATTTTTGAAATTTGCCTTTGGGTATAACCGTTATTTTACAAATTTTTTATAAGCTGATAAGGTGATTATAATGCCCAACCGGCAATACTAACTTCCTTAGAGTGTTAGGGAACGACTGTATTAAGTCTCTTCTAGTAGTATAATCAATTCATCTCGTCATCCTCATCTTACTATCATACTATATGGAACATGTATACATATGTACATATATAAATAAAAATTTTAGTAATTTAGTATTTCCACAGCAGTAAAACAAGCAAGTAAATTTACAGGAAATATAAATTATAAAGCCAAATGCATATATATGTATATACGTGCCTATAACTGGAAATTGCATCTGCAACGGAAAGTGTTAAGGTCGGTTTAATGTGCATGCATCAACTTTGTATTAAAATTATGCCCACATTTTGATTACTTCAATCAAAGAGTGAAAGGTAGACCAATTTAAAGAAAATCAATGACTTCGTCAATTAGTCACAAAGTAACCTAGGGGCATAAATTATGTAGATATAAAGCCGCTTCGGGTGA